AGATAGATAGATAGATAGATAGATAGATAGATAGATAGATAGATAGATAGATAGATAGATAGATAGATAGATAGATAGATAGATTATTAAATTAAGCTCTCAAAATAAAAAAATTGAATTTTAAATTAAGCAAAATATACTCAATAAAACTAACTATATTGAAAACTCAGAAATAATTGAATTAAACTCTGAATATATTTAATGAAACTGATAATACTGAATGAGATTTTGAATATATACTGTAGAATGAAACTGATTATAGGGAAGGAAAGCTGAAGTTGCATATAGAAATTATTGGTAACCTAGTTTTACAGCAAATATAGTCCTGCTACAGACTAGTGACCTGTCCAGATGTCCCCGCCTTACGCTATAGACTACTTAAGATACGGCCCCACCGTAACCCTAAAGGAATGAGCAGGAGAAGATCGGTGGATGGATGCATGGATCTAATTATAAACTAAATAAAAATCAAAAAATAATTTATCAATGCAACAGCCCTTTTTTCTCTTACTGGGTTGCATCCCCCCTCACTGGGGACTGGGGTAATCAAATTTGGCTGTTTAAGGTGACTGTAGTTGGAGGGCTCTCCATGCTGTGTATGTAGAAGGGGGTTGGGGGAGCTTTGCGACAAGTGGAAGAGGAGGAGGAAGGAAGAGGAAAGCCCAGAATCTGGTAACTAACATGTGGAATAATAGAGTTATACTGTGACCGAAATGCAAAAATGTTCCACAAAATAATAATTAGTGACCACAAAGTTCTTCTAGTGGACTTCAAAAGTTTTTTGTCTAAGCCTACTATCACTTAGGATTGTTCACGAAAGTAAATAGAAAGTCTTTTTTTTTTTTTTTTATAAAACATATCCCAAGAAAACAGTGTTATCACCACTGTGTTCCACTGTGGATGTGCTGCTATGTTGATGTGTTGTTTCAATGTATGTTCTTGAACAGTGGCAAAAACTTCTGGTTTATTCTCACTAGTCTATAGTACTTTCTTTTTCCCCGGGGATGCCTTAGCCAAGAAACTGCTTTCTTTGTAAAAATAAAAAAAAAAGCCCCATTTCTTGTCAGAAATTGCAGCACTTCCCCTGGTGTTACTGCCAAAGTCCAGACATTTTTTTCATTAACTTTTAAAGAGGAAAATTCTATACTTTTATTGTATTTATGAAGGCAGAATGAGGGTTTTAACCAGAAAAACACTTTTTATGAAGAATCCACCACTGTCCATCAACATTGTATAAAAAGAAAAAGATAAATTAGCATTTGGATATGTGCAAACTCAGGCAAAAAAAAGGGGTTTGTTTTATTCCATCTTGGGGGAAAAAAAAACAAAAAACATGCTGTTAACGACTACAAATCAAACCGTGCAGAAAGCAAAAAAAAAACATGATATGTTCACCAACAACTACATATTTCTCAGCTAAAATAAAGTTTGACAAGCCATACTTTTTCTCTTTAACAGACCGTTTCAAACCAGCAGCTCAGATATTAGCCAATATTCAGTTCCATTTATCTGAGGTTCAAGGTTAACTTTAGAACAAGCACTCACATGTTTGGACAGGTCTGGGCTTTTAGAGTCAACATCGTACCTGAAAGAGAAAACAAAGGCAGCAATATTAGTGGAGAAAATATTAACAGGATGAGAGATTTTTTCTGAAATGCTCTGAAAGGAAAAACATGAATGCAGCAACAAAAGATCGCAGTGAATGAAAGAACGAAGATGGACACCAGATGTCAGCTTTTTATTCTAAAAACCAAGGACATGTTGTGACAAACAGCAAAAAATGGGAATGGGGCAACCAGCTGTGGAAAGGCATTTTTGGAAGTAAATAAAAAAGCAAATAAAAGAAAAAAACAACACAGTTAAAGACAGATAGATCACATTGTAATGTGCTAAACTGAAAACCCTTGTGTTTGATGAGGTGGGCAGACAAAAACTAATCAGACGTGCTCATTTAGAAGAGGCAAAGATAAAAGAACCTGGATCTAAGTATCGTTCAGATGTTTCTGTTTGCGCTGCTCATTAAATTAGAAATGGTTCAACCCAACCTTTATTTCCTGAGAGGTGAACGTAATCTAATTTGAATGTGAATGTAAAACAATGAAAGTGAAGGAAAGAGCATGTGTGAGTGAGAGCAATATCAAACAAGGGACAAAAACAATAGATCTTTTTTAAATTCAGTAATAATATCTTAGTAACATGACATAATTCCTTCTTTATTACTGATAGGGATCTGACAATAATGGAAAAATAGTCAAGCACTACATAGTCGATTAATTAATTAATCAATCAGTCTTTAGTTCAGATACCTTTGGTCCATATGAAAACAAAGAAAAAAAGGTCATAATATATGGTAAAATGAGCCCAATTTTGCCTGAAGGAAGACAACATTTCCCATGAAGAGGTAAAATCCTGATATGACGATGTGGAAAATAAGAAACCTTTAACTTTAGTTTTTTAATGCCTCAAAAATCTGAGCACATTTTGAGCTCTCTATGGCAATCTGTTCATCTTTTTAAACTGAAAATCCAAACAGGATTGTTTAAATTGCCAAACAGGAAGCTGTAGTAGTAGTAGAATTAAAACCAAAATAAGTGATTGACTGAAGAATGGAAGAAAAGATTATAGTTTATAACTCACAAGTCAAAGCGAAGATTTTGTTTCTCCTCAAAAAAGTAGTCCAAGATGTACTTCCTAACAAAGTCGGGGTTCAGGGTGTTGTCTATCACCTCTGTCCTTCCAAACTGTTAGGAGAATAAAAAAACAGATGTTGGTTAGAGTACAAGAAGGACAAAAAAAATATAAAAATACATGTGAAATAAAATTATTTAAAAAGTTATTAGGGCTGTTTGTTTGCACATAATCTGTTCCTCGGTTTTCTGAGAAACCAATTACTTTAAGCCTGACATGGTGGACAGTATACACATACATTAATTCACTCAATGTTATTAGCTGACTTTTTACATGCAGCTGGTGCACTGAAGGGAACTTAGTTTGCTTTTCCTTTAGCTCTTTGATCCGTACCTTTATCCCTAATTACAAAACTCACTCATCACAACCTTACAGGGGAAAAAAAGATGAGCAAAAGATCCTGTGAAAATGTGTAGGCAGAGAAAGAGGAGATTACAAATAAAAATGGCATAGAAGGTACAAAGAGGGGTAGAAAAAGAGGAGTATTACTCAAAACTAGGGGATTTGGACATGAAACGAGGTGAGAGAATGAGGGTGAGAACAGTGGAGGTGGAGAACAGCAGTGATTTAGGCTTCCTAATTAGCAGGAAGTTTGCTTCTAAGGTGCCAAATAGAGGAAAATATGCCAAAAAAAAACCTGAAATTTCCTAAAACTGTGTGCAGATAAACATCAGCTAAGGAGGCTTTCCCAGGACAGCTTAACAACATTTTTATATCAAACAGTATACTGCTTTAAAAATGTATACCACATTCTCTACTCATAGCTTTGCTGTGTTTCTGTCTCTGTTATAAAATTTGTGTCTATAAAGAGATTCTAATATTTTCGAATCTCTGCTTGTGGGTTTTATTTTTGTTTGTCAAGCCATATAAAGTAAACTTATCAGTACTTATAACAATAGCTAATCCTGTGCTGCTGGTTGAGTCTGTATCATTAACCCACAATGTGGTGGTTTTATTATTTTGACTTAAGTTTAAATCATGAGGTCAATAATAGTGGATATGAGTTTGAACTTTTCTAATGGAATAAATGATTGCAGACTGATCTGTGCATCGTGCAAAAATGTTTGTGGGTTTGTCAGAAGGGCAGCAGGAATGCTGGCTATAGTGTCAAAACACTTTCAGAGGTTGGAAGGACTTAAAAAGAAGCGATACTGGAGATAAAGACTGGAGCTGGTAAGAGAGTGTCTTTGTCAAAAGTAAAACAACATGACAGACGTGAGCTGAAAGGTCAGTAGGAGGCAATTTCTCCAACAGAAACAAAAGTCAAACTGTGGTTTATAAGCCCTTTCAGGGAAAAAAATATATTTTTGAGCCATGCTCTTTGGTCTGAGAAGAATTAAAACAAAAGCGTTATGTAATAATGATCATCTTTACATCTGGAGTAGAAAGATATAATAATAATTGATCATATGGAAGTAATTAAGCAATTAATTAACAAAAGTAAAACCTGAGCACAAACAGGTATTGCAAAATAAATGACACTGAACATACAATTACAGCAGTCATGAAAGTGACTTAAACATAAAAGTTTGTTTTTTTGGAAGCCAATGTCAAAGAAAGTGTGTGTTTAGTGGTAGAATGGTGTTTGTTCGCATGAAAGCCGACGGCTGCACCTGTTCTATCAGGAGAATTGGCTCAAAATCCCAGCAATCTATCCTAAAAAGCTTGTGGAGAGATTGATACAGCTCATACAGTGTTTAGTTGTACAAAACACTAAGAAAACTTCTAAATCCGAGAAAATAAGTAAAAATGATCAGATTTTATTTTCTAACTCATGATTCCAGATTTTAGCAAACAGAAATCCTTTTGATTATCCTAATTGACATTAAACAAGAAATCTTAAGTCTGATTTAATATTAGTTATCAAAAACAAAAAAAAATAAATATCACTATACACATAGTTTAGTTTTAACTGCCTGAAATCAATGACTATATTTAAATATGTGCTATTATCGGTGTATTATTACCTCCACTAATAATCAGGTACATTTTCATCAGCGAATAATTTTATGTTAGTTCCTACATAAGGCTGGTCACCTGTTTGCAGATCACCATGTCAGTCTGCCATCTTGAAAGTACAGATGCCAGGGAGAGATAAAATAGCACTAAAACTCAGAATAATAATGCATTTCCCCTTGCTGACAGTCCAGTGGGAGTGAAAGCTGCGGTGAAGATCATTTCAGTTTATTTAATTCAGTTTATTTGGACAACCTAACCCAATAACTAAAAGTCTGCACTACTGCAGCATAATACAGGACCTTGCATATGCATCAAAGGCACAAGAAACGGTTTCACGATGCCCAAGTAAGCCAAAACAGAAGAGATAACAAAACCAGAGACATTTAAAACAAGGATAAACATAAGGCAAGCATTCTCTAGATGGAAGAATCTAATGAAGGAGATATATTATAAAAGGGATACTGAATTTACTGTAGCAGCCATTCAAAATGGCCCTTCCCAGCCAAATGGTAGCCCACTTCCCTGCTACTCCCAGCTAAATCCCCTCCAACTTCCAGCCACTGAAGAGAACCCCCTCCTTTTCTTGGGAGATTGATGTTTAAAAAGGAATTGTAGGGGACCAGCCAAAGACCAGTTAAGGGCCCTTCAAGGAAGCTGGGGACATTTTGAATGGCTACTAGTGTACCATATTTCTCTTTGACAAGTAAAGGAACTATATTGCTTAAATTAGCATACAGCCAAACTTTTTCCATTTGGTTTAATTTGACATTGTTGTTTCTTACCATAAAAAAACATAAAAGTAGATCTCCCACAAACATATCCCAGTCTTGTTGGAACAGAACTGTAGGTTTACGTGAATTTAGTAGCTTTCAAAGCAGCTGTGAAAACTAGCTTTTTGTCTGTTTTATTTTCTCTAATAGTGGTAAAGGTTGTCATCATTTCACAAAAAGAAAAGACTTTTCACTAATTGTAATAAAGCAATGTGTCACACAGTAAACTATGTGACACATTGCTGACTAGTTCAACTGTTCTTTTTACCAAAGGAACCCACTAACTGAATTGTATATAAACATGGGAGAAAGAGAAATAAAACGCAGAAATTGAATCTGTGCCGTACCTCAAATCTCCAAGAGACCCCGAGGTGTTGATGAAGCTGTGAGCACATGTTAGCAAAGAGGCGGGTGATGGTTAAAGATGAGTTCTGTAATGTGATTTCCCCGCTGAGTGGAGCAGACAATACTGTTCTGCAGAGTTCATTAGATGACGCTCGGCTGCAGGAGTTGGCTAATGAGAATCTGGCATGAAGTCCCTGAGTTTTCACCCTCGATATCACACACATACACGAACGTTAACTCACACAGATTCGCTGCCCATATGGCTAACTGAGCAGCTAGACTTTCGGTTTCTGATATTAAAATGTGAACGTGTTTCCAGAGACCTGTGGGTGCGAGCAAATTGTCACGCGTGCAAAGTGAAGATGTAAAGATAATCCTCTGTTGCCTCTGTGGGTTCTCTGTCCCAAACCTGACTGAAATTTCATTATCTTTTTTCCCTGGAGCACACAGAAAACAGCTGGTTTTGTGCACTTCTTTGACCAACATGGGATTTTATTATCCTCCTGGACTCTTCAGCAGACAGTTACAGACTGTTGCAATAATGAGCTTGGTGGTTTCTTCTGTTTTCACAGGCAGAGGTAAATGACACTGGTGTGAATTAGTGTAAGACCAACATTTTGAGGTTTTTTCTTGCTTTGTCCTTCAGTTAAAAAGCTCTGTGGTATATTAAGCAATTCTCCAACACTAACAGAGAACCACACAAAAACATAAAGTGCATTTAGTAAAACCCCAGGAATTAAAGAGCATAGGGAGCATTTTGGCTGGGATGTGAATTTTCATGCAGATGCTAAAAGCGTTGGGTGGCAAAATAGTAAAAGTAAATGTGAGCTATGATGGAGCTTTGAATTTCATATGTGAAATTCTGATTTTTTAAACATAAAGAAACACACATACTACCAGATATACGCATACATCTGGAGTGACTATCATGCCTCTAGCTAGTGAGTCTGGCTGTAACTGTTGCCTTGAAAATATTCATTTTGTTATTGCTTTGATATCAAGAAGCTTTGACAGTTTCCTTCTCCAGATGTTTTTGGATCAGCTTGGGGAGGGCCTCGTCCTATTCATACTCAACTATGCCTGTTGGAATTTAACACAGGAATGTCCATAGTTAACTCATGTGCTGCAACACTGATCTAAAAATAGGTTAAGTTATTTAAAATAAGGGTATTTGCCCTTTGAGCAGGTAAATAAGATACTATGTGAATAAAATGAGTATTTCTACCCTTAAAATAAGCTAATTAGATATACACTAAAAGATAATAGAGTAAATTATCTTATTCCATTACCTTACTTACCTACTCAAATTAAGGGTAAATATACCTACGTATTTTAAGAGAGTTTGACTTAGTTTCATTTCCATTTCTGTAGTGTGATTTTTAACTAAGAAGCATAGTTTGTGTTTGTTATTTAAGTTTAAAAATCAGAGTGGATTAATATGTTTGTTTTATGCAAATGTGTTTTTGCATAAACTGCAGAAATGTCAAATATGACAATTGCTGGAGTGACAGCGGTGTCGGCTCAAGGAGATGGCCCTACAACTGCAGGGTTGTTGGTCCAAGCCCCGGTTCTGGCTTACAGTGTCATTGTTTCCTGGGGTCCTTCACCCGCATTGCCTACTGATGGTGGTCAGAGGGCCTGGTGGCACCAGATTACGGCAGTCTCGCTTCTGTCAGTGTGCCCGTAGGCAGCTGTTTCTACAATGCAGTTGGCCACCATCAGGGAGTGAGTGAATAGATGAATGTAGTGTAAAGCGCTTTGGCCAAGTTCTCTGACTTGCAAATGCGCTGTGCAAGTACAGGCCATTTACCATTTTATTGAAAATATTCTTAGAGAAATCTATAAAGTTGCTTAAATTACTAAAAGTTAGTCTTAAGGTTATAACTTCACACAAGTTAACAGTGTTTTACCTGTTGGAAAATTAAAAACAAACAGATTTGTTGGATTGAAATTAGTAAACAAATAAATTGCAATGAAGGAAAAGCGACAGGGAGATAAATGCATGACTAATGGGCCTTTCAGATAGGAAGCGATTTGCGCTGCACTGGCCGCGGGGTTCAGCGCATTTGCGCTGCGCTGCGCCGGCTGGGTTACGCTGGCATGGTTACCGGGTCTAGTCATTTGTTTGTTGTTCCAGCTTTTGGTCAGCAGCAAATATGTATC